GGGCTCGGAGAAACCATGACAAACTTGGCGTTGTGCCACATAAATGCTTCGTGGGGGAGAGCGCTGTTAAATATAACAGTGAACAGATATGTTCGCTCTGTGCTGTTGAACTCTCAGACTTTGGTAGAGAGTAACCCGAACGAGGCTTTGCCGAAGGGCAAAGTTTCGTCCGGAGAAGTAGACAGGCCCTGAACCCGTTTATGCGTGTTCTAAGGGAATATTTTCTGACCGAGCCTACGGGCTCGGAGAATCCACGGTAAACTCGGCCTTATACCACTTACGCTCATGGTGGTAGGGTGTTAAATATATCAGTGAACAGTGAACAGATTGAGCGCTAGTTCATTCGATACACTCTCACTAGTCAGTGTAATACTGTTCTGGTGTACTTACTTTTTAATATACGAAATATCTAGAAACCTAGTTTTTGTTATTACTTACCCCTTTAGTTGGTTACAATTAGCATCATGCTAACAGAAGGTAGAAAGGCTGCTCTTAGACGATTAATAAAAAGCAGTAACACTAGAACGTGATAGCGGAAATCCAGGACCTTTTCAGAATATAAGCAGTTCATTAAGAGAGAGGAAATGTTTTTAGAAGTCAAACGCCAAACTGCTATGTAATATCGAATCTTCTTTACCCTTTTGAATGTTGGACAATTTTCTCACAGGCAAAGAAAGGATTTGAAGAGTTTCAATTCTAGCGAAGGATGCTGAGTCTGAAAGAAAATGAGAGCTGTAAGGAAAATGAAAATTGCCAGTCGAAAATGACGCGTGAACTAATGTCACCTGGCGTTTAGTAAGAGCGCTCAGACACAACTGTTGCAAAATCCACACGAGCCCGCGAAATGAGTTCAAAATTCAGAAGAGGCAGACGACTGCGTTATTTGTGAAGAAGAATGACTCAGACAAAGTAAAACGCAATGGGTACATTATAGACGCGGGAAGCAATGAGAAACCTCAAATAAGCTACTTCACTATTCTGAGCGAATTGAGGACAGAACAAAAACAGAAATGTACGACATCGATTGCCTGATATGTTTCTTACAGGCTAATCTACATTTAGAGATTATTTTGAAAGTGAATATTTTAATAGCAATGTATATTAAAATAATGATTTTCCAAATATACACCAAACTATTTAACCCATAGCTGTGGGGAAATTTAGTAAATAGTTAAATGTTATTTACTTTAAAAACAAAATGATAGACAATAATCTGAGAGACATGTGATCAAAACAAGATTCCTCTTCTTCAAATTTCTCATCACTCATGGAAATCTATTAATAATTAACACTTTAAAAACATGGCATTATTCAAGCATAATTTTTCACATTCGCTCGACTCTGTGTCATAAAGATTAATAGTTTATGGAACTTAAACAAGCTCCAGTTACATAAATGTACTGTAATTCTCCATTTATAATACACATTTTTTTACTAAAAGAATAAAACCAAAATCATGGGTGCGTATTATGCACAGTTACAAAAAATCTTTTAAAAAAAATTCCGTAAAATGAAATAACAATTATCATGAAACTAAATTAGAATAATATTATTCTATGTTTAAAAACATTTTTTAAAATAAGTTTAGGAAACACTGGCAGTAAGGAAATTGGAGAGGTACAATGTTTAGGGGTTTCTTTACCAAACATGGGGCGCGTATTATTCATACTTTCAGCAAAATGTTAGGTTTGCGTATTATGGATGAAGGCGTATTATACATGGATAATTACGGTATTGAAGTTGTCGTTATCTGAACCCCATTTGCAGTTGACATTTCTGAAGTGATGTTTGTCCTCACCAAAATTTAAAATGTGAAGATACGAGCAACGATATGGCTCAGGCAAACGAAATTAAATAGACTTTATGTCGCACAATGAAATATTTATGCGTCATATTTAGAACAGGATATTCAAAGGGATGTAGATTTTATATTAGATTTTACAAAGTTTCACAAATGTTCAATATACGCAACACCTCTCACACGACACACGTTGAGTCGTTTGTCCAGCTCCTAGCATACACGCTGTAGCATGGCATGCGTAACATTCTCCAGCACCTCAGTGATTCTCTTCTTAAGTTATTTTAGGCTTGTAGCAATAGGAGGACATGCGCCTATAGAAAAAAAAAATAACAAGGTGTCAAGTCAGGTGAACATGGTGGACTATTTTAACAGCACATTGTTATCACTGGCACGTCCGATTCATCTTGCGTGTAGGATCTCACTGAGATAGGTTTGCAATGAGGCACTGTAGAATGTTACGCAAGACATGCTACAGCGTGTTTGGCAGGAACTGGACTACCTACTGGACTACCTATTGGACATGTATCGTGTCACAGTTGGTGCGCATATTGAACATTTGTGAAATTTTGAGAAATCGGTTACAAAATCTACATACCTTTGAATATTATGTTCGAATTTTATTCAGAGACAAGAGACTTTCGGGATTAACGCCACCTGTAATTTATTCAAGGGCGGTAATCCAATAAGACATGAGAATAAGGTAAGATCAGTAAGTAAAATGCTTAGATTAATTTGTGCGAACAAAAGACAGAAGAACATCAAAGAGGGAGAGTGAAGAGCTAAAAGTTACATAGTGAAATAATCGAAAGAAGTTATGAATAGCTATCATCACGCATATTCTCAAGTGATTTGATAAACAATGGAAGAAAAAAATATGATTTCTCTGATGGATAAATATGAGAATTGGGGCTATAATCTTGATCGAGAGTCACCGGAAAGAAAGTACCAACATTTTCATCTCTTTTTGTGTATATGACTTTATTTTTGATTTTTACTTGGCCAATCAATCCTTGTCGACGCACAAATTAGCTTTATTACGTAAAGCTTGCAAACGGTGTTATTTTATTATCCTTCCGATCGATAAAAGCGGTGCAACTGGAAAAAAATACACTTTCCTATAAATTTTCTCTTGCGGTGTTTAAATCAGGAGGCGGTTTATTTACAGTCATTTGAATCTTGCATGTTCAAATTAACGACCTGCCAATGGTTAATTCTGTGAAGATGAGAAGAGTTGAGAGAGGGATATGAAAGTAAGGACTGAGAGAGGAGAAGAATACAAAAAAAAAGTGGCCGGGAGAAACAGTGACACTTGATTGAATGTGTTATAACATCACAGATAGAAAATAATTCAAACACAGAAATATTAATCAAAGTGTTTGTCCGATTGGCTGTGCAAGAATTGAGAAGAATTGGCGAAATATACCGCGGCGATAAACGAACATGAATATTTAGAAGCAGAGGCAAAGGACAGAACAGACAGAAAATGGTAAGCCAATCGAGAAGAATAGAAAAGAAACAAAATTTGATAAGATAGATGAATACGAGAAATAGATAGATAGAAAGAAAGAAATAGATAGATAGATAGATAGACAGACAGACATACATACATACAGATAAATCGATCAGTATCAATTATTTTTTAGAAATTTCTTTATTTACTTTTAGACACGAAATGGAGCGGATACGAATGATTCGCGAATCAGTGACGCGAAGGATTTGACTTAAAGACGCTATTCTGGATGTTATCCATCGCTGATTCACCATAAGCACGTCGGATTTAACAACGGTTTCTACTGCGATCAATGGTTCGAATCCTACCGAAGAGCCTGTAGTTTTTCTTTAATAACATTTCTCAAATATTCAGGACAGTAGAAATTAATAAATATGCAGATTAAAAAAATAACATCAGATCATTTTCCTAAAATATTGTTCTCCGCTAAAACAACGCTTGAATAACACACACACAAACACACACCTGTCTGTCACACTCTCTCTGTCTATATATACATCTCTATATATATATATATATATATATATATATATATATATATATATATATATATATATATATATATATATATAAAATATATACATACATATACATACACACACACACAATATATATATATATATATATATATATATATATATATATATATATATATATATATATATATCCAGGTAAGATGAGACTCAATATACCTGCAATTCCTCAATCTGAGGAGTGTGTAGAGGATTCAGAAACAGTTCTATGAGGCTAATCGTGATAACCAATGTACGGCAGCACAGAAAACTCACTCCGATGGTTCTGAAAAGAACACCGGAATTTCAGACGCAACACGTAGTCCTACATCAAGTGCCTTGAGAAGTTAGTGATGGCCTCGGTCAAGAGGGTGGCTGCTGGAAGTTTCTATGTCTAGCAACAGAACTCTGAACATGTCGCACAAGCAAGTGTCTGTCAGACAGTATGTACGACCACATCAACCTTTACGTCTGGCAACCGTACTCCGCACGCTGGAACCTCCTTAATTATTATGTCTGGTTCGCTGTTAAGCGGGAGACAAAAAAAAACACGTTGTAACACCAAACTGAACAGTTGGCAAAGATTTTTATTTTAATAACAACTTTATAAAGTGTATGAAGAATTATAATCATCTATAATAGAACAAATAAGAAACAGTCATTGAAATAGTCATTGACGCATTTTCATCTTAATATAGTCACCCTTATGCTCAATAAATTAAGCAATCTATTAGACATTCATTTTAACACATGATTTACTTCAACAGGTTGGTGGTTTTGATTGCTTCCAATGGCCTTATTTTGTTCTCAGATTGATAGCCACCTCCATATAATTTCATCTTCACAATTGACCATAGATTTTCGATGGGATTCAGATCGAGACTTGATGGTGGACATTCCATTATCTTTCTCGCCTGTGAAACCTTTACGCTCAAAAGCTTATCGCGTAACCCTATATACATGAGGTAGAATATTGCATGAATACACGCTTCACTTTCAAACGGTGAAGCTGGAATTTGCACTATCCAATTTCTGATACTTTAAAATATTTGCCTTTACTGAGAGGAGTTTGCCTCGGAGATATCTTGACAGTTGGCAATTTGCTAATTATTGCACGACATTTGTGCTTCTTGATTTCCTTAATCCCAGCCTATTCAAGATCCTGAACTTTTCGTCTATGGCCATCCTTAAATTACGATTGAAACACTGTAAAATATTTGCTTTTACTGAGAGTAGTTTTCTTAGGAGATTTGTTGACAGATGGCAATTTGCTAATTATTGCACAACATTTGTCCTTTTTCACACCCTTAATCCCAGCCTGTTCAAAGATCCTAAACTCTGGTCAAAAGTGGTTGTTTCCCTATGATTCGCTTTAGTTTACGTTCCTTTCAAGAAGACTAATTCTTAAGTTTTTTTTCTTCGGGTTCTAATTCACAACTTAGTTATATTTTCAAAATCTTTTTTATCGTTCTACTAGCAGCATGGCCCGGCGTTGCCCGTGCTTGAATCAAAAATAGTACGACTCATACAGAAATCACTTGACTTGACTTAAAATATTTTTTCCCTTCCTTTCCTTTAAAGGAGTGTCCTTTGCCGTGCTTATGTTGCTACATGCCTTATTTTTTGCCTATCTTACACTGCGAATTTTTCTAAGCTCTATACTAAACATTAAATCTGTTATGAAAAAAGAACTAAACAAAATGAACACAAAACGATCAGCTTTAACTCGTAACTGGAAAAACCGAATGAAAAAAGAATGTTAACGACAAATACTTTTTCACACCCAAACCAGTTTTGCGTAATCAGAATCAACGTTGAGTTTAAGCAAGCGAATGTGCCAATTGCAGTAAAGTGTCATGCAGATTTAAATTTTTTCCAATTGTGACGAATGCGGCAATCAATTTTTTTGCATGCCAGCATGCTAGTAAACATTCGTGTCAGTCAAGTGTTGGCTCTCACGCTGGCCAATAGAATCTTCCTGCCTATTTGTGGCAGCCAGCTATAAGCTCTCACTCTGGCCAGTAGAAAATGTCCGCAAACTACATGAAAACTGCCGTACAAGCCTGAAAAATCGATTATTACCATTATCAATGGGAGTTGGGAAATGCAAAGTCGGTCTTCCAACTAACTTGGAGCATGTGCATGTAAATTTTAGTGCAAATCCGTCGAAAATTGCAGCCGATATGGACATTCCTTCACTCAAAAAAGTGTTATTTTCAATATTGGTAGGATCATTTCCTTTACTCGTGATTTAACATGTGTTATCGAAAAAAGACAGATATCATTTTTGTAAGATTTCATAAGTCTTATAGCCACAATATATTCATCTGCATAAAAAACTTCACACTGCAGTCTTTTATAATATCTGCAATAACATTCAGAAAACATTTTTAAACCGCTTAAAATGTCACTTGAGCGATGGTCTGACGTCACATTAATAGTTTAAAATCTGACAAAAATTGTTCAAAGCAAATTTTTGTTTTTAACATTTATCTAATTTATATAATAACATGAAACTTACGTCCCCCTCTGCCCCCTCTCTCTGTCTCTCTTTCTCTCTCTCTTAAGCCCTTGCTTGCATATCAGAAAATGTTTCTTAAGTGCATATAAGGCTGAAAGAAAAAAAAATGCCTGACGATTGCGTTATGTCTGAAAAAGACTGTCGTCTCTGCGTGTTGAAATTAATGTCTACTTTTATATTTATATAAGCTCTATCACTGATATTAACCAATAAATACGCCAAAACTATATATGATCATATCTATCTATCTATCTATCTATCTATCTATCTATCTATCTATCTATCTATCTATCTATCTATTCTAGCCTGTTCCTTCCTATCTATCTATCTGTCTATCTATCTATCTATTGGGTTTAAACAAAAACTGTTTAGTGTTCATCATTTTAAACAAAGGCGCCATTCAGGCAATACTACTTCAGTGACCAACGTTGGCAAAGTTATTGTATCAAAATTGGTAAAATAATATCGTGGGCAATTTAGAGCGCATCTAAAACATGTAAATTAACGATTAATACATATATCAAAAGTGATATATATATATATATATATATATATATATATATATATATATATATATATATATATATATATATATAGATAGATAGATAGATAGAGGTTTTCTCATATTTGAATACGCTCCTTCTCTCTGACGCATTGCTACTAACATTAATCGTGTCTCAGTGACTTTTTCGCCTCTGACCTTCCTTAAATTACGTTTGAGACACAGAGCCTATAGTGATGATTCTTTTAGCAAGAAATGATTGAAGTATAATTTGTTTTAGTAAAGAAAAGCTTTCACCGGACCAGTTTGACTCTGGGAACGACGAGAAGCAGGTGCCACCATTGGATTCAACCGATTTCCCAGGTTTTATCTCAGAAAGATTTCTCGAAGATATATTCCTTAAGGAAAATTACGGCTCGATTTCTTCTAATTAACAAAGCTGGACACTGATCCATATATTTTTTGACTGATTGATTGATTCGTTTTCTACGGCTTATCAACCCTTTGCATGTTATTTTAAAACAACAAAAAAAAATAGATTGTACGAATTTTTTTTCAAGATAGTAATCGTTTGGTTATAAAATCTTACTAATTAACACGTAACCGTAACTGGTTTTCTCTCCAATTCTTGAATAAGAGGATGCATATCAGGATCCAAATGTTGAATAATATGTTTAATGTTCTGCTTTATACAAGTACATTTGACCTCGCCATTCATTAACACGGTGTCGCCAGTTTGTTAAACAAGATTTTGTTGGTTTATATCCTGGACTTTTTATAGTAAATAACTTTTTATAGTAAATAACTTTTTATAGTAAATAACTTTTTATAGTTTTATAGTGATAGTAAATGAGCTTTTGATGTTAACGTTTAAATCGAGATTGACCACACAAAATGAAAAGTATAAATCAAATATGTATATGCATTATAATTATTTTATACGAATATTCAATGTTTCATACATGCATACATGAAGTGGTTTCGAGTATGAACATTACAATTGTTCATTAAGGAATTCAATTGTGACTCATGATATGCAGCAATTCTAGTGCATGGAATTTTTAAAGTGGAGAATATTTTGCATTGAATCAATCGCAGTCCCTAAGTCCCTTATTCAGAGTGTCTCGGCCAAGAGCTTGTAAAATCATAGATTTAGTTGTGGCGATATTTTAATTGACGAAAAGGAATATGCTGAGTGTATAGGTGTTAATCAGGGCTCTGTGTTTTTGTGTTTTATGTAAAATAATTGATTTCCTCTAGCATAATTTGATGAACCTTTGTTCATAATACACCCATGAGCAAAGAAAAACGAAAAGGCAGAAAATGAAAATAATAACCAATCATCAAACGAAAATCAAACCAACACGCTCACACCACAATAAAAGTACAAGAAAACCGAGAAATATTAACAATCTAACTCTGATGAGGGATTGCATATATACAACTACAAACTTTAAAGTAAACATGAGTAAAAATACATTAATTATATACATATATATATATATATATATATATATATATATATATATATATATATATATATATATATATATATCCTGATCATAGTTCGTAAACACATGAAAAAGAGTAACAGAAAAGCAAAATGGGCAATAATGTAGATGCAACAGACATAATAACGAGTTTCTGAGCAATGCAATCTGTCAATTCCGCAAACAAATTCCTGTGTCTATTCATAAGAGGGAATATTCTTCACGTTTATCAAACACTTTGAGTATTATAAAAGAACGTAGCTTCCTAATAATAATAATAATAATAATAATAATAATGATATTAATAATAATAAAGGCCCTCGCATCCGAGTATGCTTATCTGGTAGGCTTATCAGCTAATCTCTGTTGCAGACGCCCGATCAGGCATATATGCGTTTGTTCAACACTCAGAGAAACTACCTGTGTTCTATACTGCAACTAGGATGAACAGGCAGTTTCTGTGCGTGAGCGCAACATCTGGCGTGATCAACAGATTGAAAAAAATCAGTGCGCTCAAATCCCTCAGTCACGATTACTTGTGATATTGTGCTAGCACATCGATAACTCATTGCGCCTTAGACAATATTGTCAACCCATAGTACGGTTGGCAGGCACTTTGCAAAGGTACCGCAAGCTGGGGTTGACTCCTACGGTCGATAAATACCAAGATGTCAACTTTCTGACAAATCGACATTGATGTGATTCAAAACCAAGGAGGGAAAACAAATATGTCAGAAGCAATCGCATGTTTGCGTATATACATACAGACAGGTTCTCAGACCAGAAAATAAGGGAATCAAAAAATATCATGAACGCATGCTAAATAGTCTTGGAGAAGCAAAGAAGGCAATCGATAAATATTCAGTTGTTTGTACAAATTATACGAAATGGAACAGGCAGTGAATTTTTCAGAACTCCCCTATCATTGTGAATGAAAGAGAAACACGATTTCTCATCAGGGAATTGACATATTTTCGCGCTTGCTACTAATTAAATTAAGACCTATATATTTTGTTTATATGCAACCTTACAGTAATTGATTCCGTTCGCCATACACTGTCCCCAGACATGAGACAAATATATAGATGTTATTACATACAAAAGCAATTTACAAACTCGCCCCCATAAAAGAATATTGGTTTGCATGTGTAGCTGATTAGCTAATGCTATATTTCCAGCCAGTTCAAAAGAACTAGATAAATAGGTTGATAATGACGGAAAGGCGCTGTACGTTCTTCCAATACGTTTGAAAGGACTCTATATTATATTCTGAAACTAAGAAAAAATACAAGCAAGCAGGAAGGAATTTATATTGTAATGTAAACATAATAAAATATACAGTAATATCATTAAAAACAGCGCAAAAAGAAACGGATATTGTAAATTCTTTCTCGTATTTATCGATGTCGCCGAATTTGAACGATAGATAACCAAATTACGTTGTCCCTAGATAGGATCGAATGAATTAGGGCATCAACTCGAAAACGTGAACAGGGCGTTTAGAGAGAAAATGGAGACAGCATTTGCCTTATGAGACTTTTAGGCTGATCGTTATTTAATGATCCACACGAAATATGGCCATTCAATTTTCTTTGGCGAATAGAACATTCAACGATTTCACCGATGTAAATAGTTTTCCTAATATCTCTAAGCCTACCAGAGGCAAAAACATATTGAATATCGTTTTATATATACAAGGGTACGTCAAACATTATTTGCACTTTCGCCGTAATATATCTTCATGTATGTCACTCTGGCTACTGCGAGTGCGGGCTTATGATTGGTAGAATTGTGGTCACGTAATCGAAATTTCAGCTTGACCACGACAGTTTCCTTGATGCTGTTACAGTAGGCAGATTGATTTTTCACTATCTTCATAAAAATTGACATTGTACTCAGTGTGAAAGATGGGGTTTGATGTGCTTGGTATTTACACACAAAAAAATAAGATTCATAGCTTTTAGCAATATTGTCTAAGAAAAATGTAGAAAACTATTCAACTTACGCAGGTTTTACTTACAAACTAATTTCGAAGTTTTAGTATTTCCAGAATAATTCAAAATAAAGTTTATATTTTTTCAGTATCTGTCTATATTTCTGAGATGAGGTATTATGTATACTATTTACATTATTCGGACTATTGTCCTCATCTCTGTCGCCATATTTATTGCAACGTTTCGGCTCTTTAGTATCTGTCTATATTTCTGAGGTGAGATATTATGTATACTATTTACATTATTCGGACTAATGTCCTCATCTTTGTTGCCATATTTATAACAACGTTTCGGCCTTTTAGCATCTGTCTATATTTCTGAGGTGAGGTATTATGTATACTATTTACATTATTCGGACTAGTGTCCTCATCTCTGTCGCCATATCTATTGCAACGTTTCGGCCCTTTAGTATCTGTCTATATTTCTGAGATGAGGTATTATGTACACTATTTACATTATTCAGACTATTGTCCTCATCTTTGATGCCATATTTATTATAATTTTTCGGCCGTTGTACGCTCCGGCCTTCTTCAGGTTGTTGGAATGTCGAACTGAACACTTTATTTCGCTCACTGAGGTAGACTGTTCTAGTTCAACGTGCCATGTTTAATGAGTGTCAATTATCAGATATCCCCTGTTAATTCCCCTCTCCATGTTCTCCACTGCTTTAAAACGGGTACTGAACTCACACACTTTGGGTCCTGTCACTACATCTAACCAACGCCTTTATTAAACATGGCACGTAGAACTAAAACAGTCTACCCCAGTGAGTGAAATAAAGGGTTAAGTTCGACCTTCCAACCACATGAAGAAGGCCGATGCGTACAACGGCCGAAACGTTGTAATAAATACGGCGACAAAGATGAGAACAATAGTCCGAATAATGTAAATAATGTTTATATATTTTTGTATTACATACAGTGAATGCAAAATATATTCAAGACAGAATTCAATGTATGTATCGCCACAAGAAAAATATGCAATTTTTTTATTGTATTCCTTAAATAAAAACTGTGTAAATATTTTTAAAGATTACAAAAAAGTGAATCGATGAATAAGTTCTTACTCCATTTGTTTGATCGTAATTAATAATAACAAAATATAGATAAAAATTCATATAAAACTATAATATCGCTTGACATAATCTATAAGATAAAATGCTTCAAATTTGTATTTGTTTGATTTGTTTCACGGCATATCAATCTTAATGGTTTATTTAGTGCTGACAAGATTTTTATTGCTGGAAACATTTTTCCAAAAAGTATTTATGGTAATATTTTTTTTCCAAAAATATATTGCTGGTAAATCTTTTTTAAATGTATTGCTGGTAATATTTCTTCTTATTGAAATGTATAGCAGGTAATATTTTTTAATGTATTGCTGGTAATATTTTTTTTAAATGTATTGCTGGTAATATTTCTTTTCTTTTTTTAAATGTATT